TGAACATAAAAAGCAGATTGTCGCTAGCTTAACTTGGCTCTAACTGACCAATCAGAGGACAGGAAATACTGAGGGTAGCATGGGCCCGCTAGCTGGGCCTGTGGGGCAAATCTGAAATTTGATTGGTTGAAGAAAATGTTCCTCACTAATATTGTGAAGGTAACAACAGCCAGCGCTGCTGCTCCTGAAGGCCCTGGGCAGATTAGATTGGCATAGCAACACACTGAAATCTGATTGGACAAAAATATTTAGCAACCACATAAATGTAATGGAAGCAGCACAGGTAAGAAAAACACTACAAAATTAAGAGAATAGATTGTTTGGAATAAATAAATACAGTTGGATAAAAGAAGAATTAAAGTTGAAGTTGTGAATGTAGGTTGGTGTTTCTGACTGATTTTAGGCAGCAATGAAGGCCCTACTGAAAGTAAGAGACATACATTTATAAAAATGAAAAGTTTTGCATGAAATTTTACCATTTTTATTTCTATTACATACAAGATGGGGGGGAGGGGCTTAAAGCACAACAGAATCAGCTTTTTTTCCAAGTAAAAGAATTGGTAATAACTTGACTTTTCTTAATAGTTCCCACTGGGTTTAAAATCCAAATGGAACGCAGTGGGTTGAGGGTAATGTTTTATTTATTTTTTTAGTTTTTTCATCTTTGAATTTCCGTTTTAATTCCCTGCTAGAAAGAGACGAATATCAGGCAATCACAAAAATAAGTTTTGTCCCCAATCTAACTGCGGCATAAATAAAAAATTTCTCATACTTTGATGTGCTAGAGGGTTTTTTGAGGAACAGCTTCTTAATTTCCAATCAAATTCCTGCCACCCTCCACAACTGCTGTAAGACGACTTTTGTAACCAAACTATACAGACATGGAGATCCTTCTGGACAAAAATCCAACAAGTTTTTAAGTCAAAATGAAGACAATCTAATATACTTCTCACCAGAACACGGTCTCCCAGCCTCAGCTCCCTTCTGATCTTCTTCATAGAATCTGGGTCTGACAGGTTGGACACAGACTCACTGGATGTCACCATTCGGTTAATTACGCCGCTGGTTTTTATACCAGTGACGGGAGCTGAAAGAGAGGAAAAAGGAAGCAATTGCAGATTAGATCATCTGAGCCATGTTTGGAGTTCTGTAACAGTTCCCCAAAAAAGATGGAGAGGTTTTGCTGTGGCACAATTAGTAGTACTGTCGCCTTGCAAAGAGAAGGCCCGGGGTTCGACCACTTTAGCCTCGAGTCTAGCTTCCCTGTGCATGAGTGTGTTCTCTCCAGCTATGTCCCAAACATAAACATGACTCTAAAACATTGAATCAGGAGAAATCTGGATGAAAAACTTAAGAAAATGTGAAAAAGGTTCAAGGTAGAACACTGTTGTTTAAGGTTTATTCAAACTTTAAGTAAACAGAACCCGCTAAAAAAGTTTTTTTTTAGTCTGAGGTGCTTTAGGATGCCAGATATAAAAGAGAAAGACGTCTGTTACCGTTTGAGGCAGAGGCAGGAGGTGTAGCCTCAGCAGTGACGGTAGTTGCAGCCTCGCTTGTCGCTGAAGCTGCCTGTGCTGGGCTCGCCTGCCCCCCGTTCGCCTCCTTCTCTGGTATCTCAGTTTTGGACAGCTTGGATGGCCGTGTGAAAATGCCCCGCCCATCCTCACACTGGAAGTAGCGGACGCCAGCCACCGACCCGTCGTTCTTGCCGATGGGCTCATCCAGGACGATGCCTGCCCACTGGCCCGGAGCAAACTGCGTTCCCCCGATAAACTGAACATAGCCTGGCTTGTTGCCGTTCACCCAGACCCTGTCGCCGATCTGAAAGTCTATGCTGCCGTCTTGTGTTGGGGAGGTGACACCAGGGGAGGACTTCTCAGGAGGAACTGGCTTTGAAGCCCCTGCAAGGAAAAATTGGTAAACTTACAATATACTATGATTTGTTGTTATTTTTCATGTCATTTGAATAAACTCATGTTTTACTTCAAATCCCCTCACACTATGGCAGGAATGATCCAAAAATAACATTGCTTTATCTCATGCAACACTATGCAAACACTCTGTCTGCGCTGATGAAGATTCACTTATTTAAATGATATTTCAAACTAAAATAAAACTGATCGTATTACATGCTATCTGATTAATTTAGTCAATAGTTTTATTTCAAAGCTAATCAGTTGATCCTAAAATAAATAAAAACAAACAAGATGGCAAGACCAGGACAAAGTCTGATTTCCCTGTCTAAACGACCATGTTAAGGGGCAGTCAGCGTGTGATCAGCATGACGAAGGCACGGAAAACTTCTTACCAGACGATGGCGATGTCTTAGATGGCACTCCAGATGGACGAGCTATTTTACTGGGAGGTTTTAGGCCACTTGCTTTCCCTGGTGTAGTGATGGGCCCCTGTTTGTCCATGGTTTGGGGACTTGATTAGGGTGGGGGGGACAGCCTTCCCCCACTACCCCTCTGTGTCCCAATGTGACTGAAGAAAGCTGGAAAAATAAATAACAGCATTTAAATCAACTAAAACAGTACATGTCACTGCCTATAGGCAATCCACAAATCTAATTGATTCGAGGGTATACTGGAAAAAAGCAGTCTAGAAATATTAGGTGTATTTACCCTCAATTTGAGTAGGTAAATAAGATGATTTGCCAGTGGAATTAGATTTACTCTTAAAGTCGTAGGGAAAGCGGCTGTTCCAACCTTTGCATTTCCATACTTTACACGAGTGAATGTGATTAGTCGTTTATCAAGAGGGCAGAATTTTTGCGAAGGTTCGCAAGCAAGTTTGGTTGTGGCCGGTGTCTTG